ATACCTGCATCGATATTCTAATAACATTTTCAATATTGCATGTTGACCATTACCAGGGCGCGCGATGGTCTGGGCATACTTCCGTACTTGGCGATGACATTCAGCGGCCTCCCGCATGTTTATGACGTCCTCCTCGATCACCTTGTCTGCCTCCTTCATCTCGGCGGAGGTGGTACGGTAAGCATTGGAACCTACCAGAGGGTACAGCTATGTCCAAGACAATCATTTCTCTGTAAATTTCGGGCGGTCCTCGATGATGATAGAGAGCTCACCAGTATACTCCTGTATTTCTCCAAGGGGGAATGATTTTTTAGGAAACAACTTTTCTATCTGCACCGTCGGTGGAGAAGTCTGGGCCGTCGTAATCTGCCAAAACCCAATTGATGACCACAACGATGACGCCCTTGCCGAGGTACCTCCTTCCAATCTCCGAGACACCTAAGAGCCGAATTATCCTGAGCCGGGAGTACGTGTGTGGGGAGCTTCTTAGCACCATGACCTGCATAGCAGTTAGTATGAAGACCCCCAAGATCTCCCTAGTGCATACCACGCTTCTTGTTACGCTTCTTAGTAGCTGTCTTCTCATCGGCTCCATTAGTTGGGACGTTCTCTTCCCCCTCCTCAGGGGAGGCCGCCTCCCCTCCCACTACAGCTGCCTTGTTTTTGTTTTTCTTATTCCTCCTCTTTTTAGACGCGGATATGGTCTGAACAACAGGTGCCTCCGTAACAGGGAGGGTATCCTCTTCTTCCTCCTCTTCAGGGTCTGCCGGCATGCTTATGATGAATCAACTGCCAAGACCAATTACGTCCCCTTCACTTCTACCAGCCGAGGATGAAGACCCCCACGACGTCTGCTGGCGAGAAGACCCTTCGATCGGAATGCACACAACCGTAAGCGCTTCTTTGGACACATCAGCTTTCTTGTCCAAAGTTAAATGCTTGACAAGGTGTCCATTACTCAGCCCATGGGCTATGTTTCGACAACTTGAACCGTAGTGGCGCTCGCCCGAAAATGTACAAATTGGACAAGAAATGTCGAAAGTAACACCATGGGTGATCTTTGGACAGGTTTTTTGGACAACAAATACGTGTCCACATGTCCAGAAGGACATCCAGCCTCTTTTGGACAACATCTTGTCCAAGTGATGTCCAAAGGTGGATTTGTCTGCATTTCCCTCGAAAACTTGTCCAAAGCTTGTCGTTGGCACTTTTGGACAGTTGATGATGAGTTGATAACGCTATCTTGTAATCTCGAAGCTTTCACACTTAGCGATATTAGCAGCGATGACCAATGGCACCCAATTACGTTTGGATCACATTGATTGCAAAGCTTCAACAGTTTATCTTCAAACGCATATGTCGCATATGTCTTTCGGTCCCGTACCTTGCAATTGTAAGCAAATTGTTTGATACAACACTACATATAAAGGCACGCACGTTTGGGCGAACATGTTTACTCATCACACACGCATGTAAATCAGATTTACTAGATCTCATTGAACATTTAGGAGTCATAACCTTTCGAGTCAACTGGGGACGGATTTAACGTGCGAATGTT